ATTGCTATTCATCAAAAAGCAAAAAAAAAGCTGATTTGGCAAGGGTTTGGGAAAAACTATTTCCATGGAAAAATTCTACCATCAAACATGTCAAAAAGTGGGAAATGGCCCGTTTGGTATCCAATTTTTTCAAAATGCATTTTTTCTCTATTCTTTTCAACCACACATTCTTTATTAAAATAATATTACACGTAAATAAAAAAAAATTCCTTATTTTTCAACCACACACTTCCATCAAGTTACTATTTTAAAATGCATTTTTACTTAAAAATGGCTCTCAAACACCCTAATTTCCATTTTCCATGGAAAATAAGAGCATATCAAATAGGGCCTTAGAATCAACAACCGAAACGCTCGAGAAATTATGAGTAGAACAAGGAATTTTGAAGAAAACTTGATGATGAAGATTGAAGAAGTGACTTACAAGTTGTTTGAATAAGATTTTTTTAAGGCAACGTGGGGAGAAGAAACTAGATTTTATTAAGATTTTAAGGTGTTTGAATGGTCGAATGAATGGAAAAATTGGGAAAGCTGTCGTTGAAAACGGACCAAGGGGTGTGGGGTTTGAACAAACAGTACATGTTTTTGCTTAGTGCTGAAATGGGACATACAGACATTATTGAACTACATGTGATAAAAACAAACCAAAAAAAATTTATGTGGTACCATTCATATATATGTAGCATCCCACTTATAGGACGGAATTTTATGTTGTGATAAATAGTTGGGCAAACTCAGTTTGTATATTCTGTTGAACTTTTAGCTCATACGATAATGTTTCGATTTTAATTGTGACATGAACGGGCAAAACAAGTCTTCATTTTAGATTTTCACGAGAAAGATATTATTTGACAATGAACATTTCGTATTATTAATACACGTAAGTCACGACATTTCTCATGAGCTTATTTTAAGTAAGATCAGTGTATCTTCAATTGACATATTCCTCTTATAAGTTGTTTTCTAAAAGAAAAAATTGAATGAGCTAGTTTGGACTTTGGAGTGCTCGTACTCGAACGTATTTGTATTTTTCAACTTTGAGGGAGTACTAAACTTTTTCATTGCAGGACCACCTAACAAAGTAAAGGTCCCAAAACTTGCATAGTTGCATTAGTTGTTACTAGGCCAACTGTATAGGATGGAGAGAGCATTGGGGTAAATGTCATAACCAATTATATTAAGGACCACCACACCTATATATATATATATATATAGAGAGAGAGAGAGGCCCCCAAGGCATATCTCCCAGTGGCAAAGGGGAGGGCAGATAGGGCTCAGCGCGGCAGTGTGCAGAGTTCGATTCCCCGTAAGGTGGAATTGACTTTGTTGCAAGCGGGAGTTACCATATGGGTTAACAGCTTTGGCATATCCATGTGCTCTCCACCCTGGCTCTTGGGAGGCACATTTTGCGATTTATATATATATATATATATATATATAGAGAGAGAGAGAGAGAGAGAGAGAGAGAGAGAGAGAGAGAGAGAGAGGTTATTTGACAAACGTTATGATAAAAGTTTTAGCAGATTTTGAAAAAATGATGAAAGGTATGACTGAGATATTGATAAAAGTTGCGAATTTTATGAAATATATAGTTAAAATTAATTATTGACTTTGACTTCAACCATTTAAGTTATCCCAAACTAGCACTTAGATGTATTAACTTATTTGGTACCATAAGTTGTATCCATGAGTGAGGCCACTTGCCATGTGAAGGAACACTTAAAGAGACCACTCAAAACATCATGTAACATCTTCCATTTAATGTCTCTATCTCATGGTCCTTCAATATCTCTTACTCCATAAAAATTGCACACTAAAAATATAGGGTTTTCAAGTTCATTACAATATAGAATATGGTTATGTACACACTCAAAATGGTCGTTCGAGTTGCCTTGTCTAATATGTATAAATAGAAATTGATACAAATAAACCGACATTTTTTCAATGATATTTCAAACATCTTTGTCTAATTCCGTCTTACCAAAAAAGACTAACTTCTAACCGTCTCTCGGAAGTTTGTGAGGGCAAATCAGGTATGAAGAATGAATTTATATTCGTGTGCTGAAGTTATTGACCTGCAGCTAGACGATAGAAGGTAAAAATATTTATTAAAAAATAAAACAAGATAAATTATATTTTTCAGAGGCCTTTAAAAGTTAATTGGTTGGAGTAATGATTACAAAAAATTATTGGGGAAAAGAGAAAAGAGAAAAGTGGAAGATGCTTTAGCCTCTTAGAAGTTGAAAAGGGATAATCCTAAAGGTTTGTGGATAGAATTGGATAAAGAGCAAATGAAAAGCAATATATTCCTAGACAAGACGATAAAAATTTGTTCGGTCTTAGTCATAGGCAAGATTTTTTATTATAAAAGAAAAGGTTTATTTTTTTTTATCCCAGTGATGTACATAGTATTCTTCCTTTTTCTTTTTCTATTATTCTTAAATTTTTGAATCGACTTAACTGGAGAAAAGATTTTATTGTTCTTCCTAACGAAATTAAAATAGAAATATAAAAGTTATTAGTGTTTATTGATAGTATAGTTTCTGCATTTAAATTTCTTGTTTGATCATTGTCTGTCCGTGTCAACATTTCGCTAAATAATAATAATCACGTGTCATCACGTTTACTTAAAAAAAAGTACAATTGAATTATTTCCTATCAATAATTTTGGAAAAATTATGTATATACCTACTTTTACTAAAAATAAAAATGAAAATACTTTGTTTTTCCCTTCTATGATAATTACTTATACGTTGTTCCTGTTTGGTATAGACTAAAAATTAATAACAAAATTTAAGTTAAAGTCAACAATTAATTTTAAACTACATATTTGATAAATTCACATTTTTTCAACCACACATTCATCACTTTTTATCAAAATTTGCTAAAGATAATTAAAACTTTTCAAAAATTTCCATCATATAAGATATGCCTATAAATAGTAAAATACTAAACACAATCAAAATAGGCGGTATAAAGCAAAACTTTGCATCTCGATAAATTTTTATTTTCCACAACTTTGTAATCATTAAAGGATGATACGTGGTAACTTCACATTTAAGTCATTTTCTTATTAAAAACCCACCTGGCAGACCCCAGAACAGAGAAAAGGCAATAGTGGAAAAGACAAGGGAAAATAAAGCTTCATATAGGTAATGGAAAAAAATTAAATTTAGGGAGAACTTCGTAACTATGACATTAATAGCTAGTTTGATAGAATTTATTTTGGAATAATGAGTTATTGAACAGTATTTTTTGAAAAATATATGGATAAAAAGTAAAAAAAATTATTAATTTCTATATAAAATATTTTATTGTGTGAATAAATTGAAAAATGATCATGTAACAAACAATTTAAATTATTAAAGGATGATAAACATGGGCTAAGTATCACTCATTTCAAAACTAAAAACAACTGAAAATTAGATAATCTAATACATTTAAGATTCCATTTCATAAATCATATACAAAATTTACTCTTTCGAAAATCAGATTTCTTTTTATTAATCCATATATGTAAAAATTAATTAATTTACCTACACAATTCAAAACAAGATACACACAATATACAAGATTTCCTTTTAAGTAAACAACCAATTTCTTTCATTCACTCTCAATTCTCTCTCTCTCTCCATTCTCGCCTATATCTATCTCTCTCTCTCTCTCTACATCCTCGCCTTTTTCTCTCTGACGAAAACGACGCTATCAGAACAATCCATTTGTCGACGGCAGGTGATGCACGAAGCGAACTATGATTTCTCCCTCTGATCTGTACCTTTATCAGAGTTTGGGTGTTTTTCTAGGTGATTGATTGTGTTGTGAACGTTGTAATAGTGGTGGCGATTCAATGGTGGGGTACGGTGGTGTTGGTAGTGGCACAGGCACTGGGTGACTGGATTTTGAGATTGTTGACTGTTGGGGCTATGAGATTGTCAATGAAGATGAGGGTGGATAGATTTGTGCTTGAGTGGCTGCCGACGGGGTGAAGAATATTGGTGGACTGGGGTGATCGACGGCGATTTTATAAAAGGTATGTGGTGGTGGCCAGGTAAGGTTTGAGTGAGTAGAGGTATGTTTTCTGATTTGTTAGGTTTGGATGGATACGATTTTGCAATCGTGGTGCAGCAGTGTGGATAGTGGTGGTGGTGCGGTAGTGGTGGTTGTTGACCTCAGAAATTGGACCCTCCACGTGGTCAACCAATAGCTACTTCACGTATTCTTCCCTGCGCACAATCAACGCATGGTCAAATGCACACGACCGGAACCAGCGGGGGTAGCGACGGTTGTATATACTTCGACGGTCAAGTTAGGCTCAGGTGATTGGAACAGTACCAAGGTAGTGCAAAATAGTGGGAGGAGAATATATGTTTGCTTGCTATGGAGTGCTAAGTAGTAAGAGTTTTATTATCTTTGCCTTTTGCCAAGCCTTGGGTATTTATAGGTGAGGAGAGCCGTTGGATGTGGGGCACGTGTATGCATCTGACGGTA